GAATCCGGTATGTGAGTGTGATAGTCTTTTTTTACAAGATCTTAAAGTAAGTTAAAAAAAAACTGTCACTGACGCCTGCGCCTATTGATCAATAGATAAATGCCTATAGAAATATATTGAGTGGTAACGTCACCATAAAAACCCCTAAATTCTCTTGAATCAGAAGTCATAATTAGTTACTGGAACTCAAGGAGAGTCATATTTATATTTGAATTTAATAGATATTCATATTATGGCTATCTCTCTGTACACACCTCCAAAGCAGGCAGTCAATGAACCATGTGTACATGGCTCACTCCTCCCCGGCCTGCAGTATGACTACAGAACAACGTAATGTAACTACCATCTTAAATCTTCATTTCATCCCCATTAGCAACACGTGCGGCGCAGATACCGTGGCGAGCAGTCATTCCCTCGTTGGAAACCTTCGCAGCGCAAATTCCATGCCTAGTCTTGATACCGTCTTCCGCAATGCGGGCAGCGCAAATGCCGTGGTGAGCTTTGACACCGTCTTCGATAGACTTGGCTGCACAGATACCGTGGTACGCCTTGATGCCCTCAGTAGCCTTTACAGCGCAAATGCCATGGCGAGCCGTGATTCCTTCGTCAGCGGCCTTGGCGGCGCAAATACCATGTCGAGCGTTGATACCATCCTCGGAGACCTTTGCAACACAGATGCCGTGGCGTGCCGTAAAGCCATCGTCGGCCTTTGCGGCGCAGATACCATGACGAGCTGTCATACCCTCGTCAGCCGCTTTGGCAGCACAGATCCCGTGGCGAGACGTAACTCCGTCAGTACTGGCCTTTGCGGCGCAGATACCATGGTGAGCTTTCAAACCGTCCTCAGGGGCTTTGGCAGCACAGATACCATGACGAGAGTTAACACCATCCTTGGCCTTTGCGGCGCAAATACCGTGACGGGCCTCAAAGCCGGTTTCAGCTTTAGCTGCACAGATGCCGTGTAGTGCTTGGACACCATCGTTTATCTTGGCTGCGCAGATACCATGGCGGGCGGTCATCCCATCATCAGCAGCCTTCGCGGCACAGATCCCATGTCGAGCTGTGACACCATCATCGACACCCATTGCAGCGCAGATGCCATGGTGAGCAACAATGTCCTCGCCCTCCTTCTTGCTGAAAGTCCAGGCAGCTTGGAATGCGTCAAAGCCCTGTGGGCCAATAACCTTGGAGCCGATAAGACCTGTAGAAGGAATGACGATGCTACTGCGGCCATATGTCACTTCCATGGTCTCGTTGTCAGGATCTCCAGCCTCGTACAGGCTCACGCCGAGAACCTCATCGAGTCCTGTCTCCTGCAGTACGCCGATAAGCTCTTTGACAAAGGCAGCTGGGAAGACAGGTCGATCGACGTTTGAGAGATCACGCTGTGGCACGAACTTGAACTCTGTGGGCTTGAGTTCACCGTCAAAGACACGCCAGGTGTGAGGAAGAACTGAGCCGCCAGTCACGACTTCGTCATCGCCGACAACCCAGGGCGACGAGACTGGGCCAAGCTCGATGATCTTCTCGTCGGGGGCAACGTCGTAGTGGCGGTGGAGGAGACCGACGCCGAATACTTTGTCAACGCCGTGCTTCATGAAGACGTCTCTGATGCAGGACTTCATGTGATCCAGGCCATTGAGTTCCTGGAGTCGCTGGGCGGCCACGTCGACGTCAGTCATGGCATCAACGGCGCGGTGGTCGTATGACGCGGGAGTGTAAGTCTGGACTGCTGCAGCTGCCATGTTGCAAGTGAGAATTGAGAAATGGTGGTGTGTCTTGTTCAAGAAGAGAGAATGTTGAGAGATTGAATGTTGTTTGAGTTGCTAAGATGTTTGGCTCTTTCTATTGTCTTTTTATAGTTGTGTCCATGCTGCCACTAGACTCAACCATCTAAGTGCCCTCATGTTGAACAGTTCAGTAGATGAAGATCATTTCTGGACATGGTGATACAAGCTGGATCATGCACAGTCATCTTACTCACCCACGCATCGCTCTACTCATGGTTTGTGTCCTGGACCGACACACGAGTATTTGGAAAGCCAATACACAGAGCGTTAGTTGAAACAGGCCTTACTAAGATGACTACGTCGCTGAGATGGCGAGAAAATCATTTCTAGATCTGGGGTCAATCATTTCCGGATTTGGGCATGTTATCTTTGCGGGGAAAAGGGTTTTCACAACGATCTGCATGATAGGCAGCCGAGGTGACATTCTGCGCCTAATTGCAATCCTTACCCGCGTACCAGAGCGGCTGGTTTGTTTCCCCGTGACAATCTTGACGTCCGAGACAATGAAGGGATGATGTTAGCCTTCCTGGCTGTGCGAACAGAGTCGCTCAATTACTCACACTGTCTAACTGGCAGTGTCAATCCTTTCAAGCCCCGTTGGCTCAGTGGTAAAGCGTATCACTAGTAATAAGACACGACATGATAAGATCACTGGTTCGATTCCAGTACGGGGCAACTTACATTGTTTCTCTAGTTCGAGATAAAAGTTACTGGATTGTTTTTTTTTTATGTATCCACCTAAAATATCGTCCCAGAATATCTATTTATCACAGCGCCAATACCCCATCAATTGATCAACCGTGGGAAATGTATGCTAACAGTCTCACAAGGACAGATGTCAAATTAGACGCTAGGCGGGCACGACTGTAGACATGCCACTAACAAGCAGCACCGAAGCAAGGGCATAAAGAACCGAGGCAACAAAGAACGGCAAGCTTACAGCCATGCCCCCGATGTCCAAACCGACTGAGAAGGACAGTCCGAGCAGTGGCGAGGCGCCAATAGTCGAGATACCCTCAAACACGGCGATTGCAGTGAATAAGAGTGACAGATGATCGGGATGCACCATGGTTGTCAGGAGAGATCGCAGGGCGGATGAAAAGCCATTGCCAAGCGTGTATCCAAAAAAGGCTATGAATGAATTAGTTCGTCAGAGCGTAGCTGATCTCACTGATACCGTACATACCAATTATGAACGCCGGAACAGCTGTGGCTAGACCCATGCAGAGTGACCCAACAGCAAGGATGATGATTGACACTCGAGTCAGAGCGAGATTCGCAGCAGAAGATGTCTTCATTCTTTTGATGAGCCAGACATTGACTTGCGGTAGGACTATAGCAAAGAGCAGAATCTGACCCGCGGCTTGGATCGAAAGTAACAACGCCGTCTGGATATAGAGCGTTAGCGTTAGCGAACACGGGAGACTACAATGGAGATAGTTGCTGGTTTCCTGTTCTTGGAAAACACGCACCTTGGCCAGCGGCCATCCGAACCGCACAGACATGTATTGCAAGATGAGTTCTAGCATGGGCCGGGCCATCTTTGCAACGACAAGCGCGAGAAGGCCGACTAGAAGACTTTTATGACTGCCCAACGTACAAACGCCATGTCGGATGTTGTGTGAGAGGTGTGATAGAGCCCGTAGAACCTTGCTTTTTAATGAGTCTGCATGATTCACAGTTTCCTCACATTCGCCGTTGGCAGATGGGGATCCTTCTCCTTCCGTGCCCTCTATGTCGCTTGGGGCACTGTCGGAGGATTTTGTGTTGGGGATAAATCCAAGCACCACAAAGGCCAGAGCTTCAAGTGGGACGGCCGTGAGAAAAGCAAAATGTGGTCCTAATGTCTTCATGAGAATTGCACCAAGTGGTGGCGCAATTAGCTCAGTGATGAGAAGGACAACCTGCACCCAGAAGAAAGCCCTTGTTCTATAAAGAATTTCATCAATTTTCAGCCCGAAATTACTCAGCAAGGTTGTCCTTGCGGCAGTGTACGTACCTGGATGCTTCCGGGATTGCAGCAGCAATAATGGCCATGATCATGGGACTGATGACAGTAGACCCTCCTCCCAGCACCAAGAAAGCGGGTGCAGCATAGACAGCACGGACAGGAAATACTCGATGAAAGTAGAGCACAGTAAATGCCCAAATGTCTCTCAGGACGAAGCCCAGTAGACTAAGGCCCGTGACCAACCGACGGCCCTTGCTATCGGCCAGGACGCCGTAGGGAATAGCGAGTATGAGACCAGGAATACCTTCAATCATGCCGAGAATACCTCTCATTTTAGCGAGCGCGCTTTGAATTTCATGGAGCTTGCAAAGATGCTCGGGAACGGAGCCATCGCGGCCGATGACGCTTGGATCAGTGGCCGCGTAGTAATCACGGCAGAGACCAAGCTCGAGCATACGCAGCTTGGGGACTTCGCTTAGGAAGTTGGGGACGTCGACGAGCAGGATGAACAGACTGCAGATGTACAGAGCTGACCACTGGGAAAAGTGACGCTGCCATGCCGTCCGCCACTCATCGGCCTTGTTCGTCTTGGGAGGGCTTCTGTCGCAATTGAGGTTGGGTTGTAGAAGCGGTGTCGACTCGGCGACGCCGTGCTGAACGTTGTCCATGGCGCAGACCAGCTACAAAAATGCTGTGTCATACAGAAAATGTCGGCTGCAATTGAAATGCGATAGATTCTGGCTCTGAGGGGAGAACAGTGTGTGTTCAGTGGTGGCTAGGCTGGCACTTGGCAGGCAAACAACAGCTGAGCGCGCCTTGCAAAGATGGGCTGAAGCTGCGTGGTTGACAGTGTTGCGCAGTCTTTGATGTGACGTAAGTCTTCTCGTATCCAGCTGCAATGCAATGCAAAAGCACAGTAATCTGAGTCAAAGCAAAGCTTGTGTTGGCCCTCTCTCTGGGGCGGGCGGTAGGCAGAAGATGTTGACGATCCCTACTACTACAGGGTACTAGGGGACTTTTGTGAGGATTAGGTGGCGTGTTTGCCCTGTCTTATCTGTCGCAGCAGGGAAGTGCAGCACAGTGTGATACAGGCGAGCGGGGAAAACAGGGCACAGTACACAGGCATTCAACCAACGTGCAGATCCCCATTCAGCTGTGCCGCACAATGCATGCAGTGTCATAGATAAAGACCTTCCAGGGCGAGAATCCTTTTTTGCTCTCCCCCGCTGACCTGTAGTGCCAGTGTCAGTTCTGCGGCCATGTCGTCTGTTAGCGCCTGTCTCAACGATGACTCGCTGGGGCCTGCTGTGCGTGGCTGTAGAGGCAACTTTGACTTCACTGTCGCCTTTGAAGATGTCGTCTTTGTCATTGCACCAGCCACTGCCTTCATTTGCCTTGGGCTGTTGCGTATCCTGGCGCTTTGTCGTCGCCGTCGCCCAATTGTCGGCGCTTCGGCAGTTCAGTGGACGAAGCTGGTATGCGTCTCTAATGCATCACCCTGTCTTGAGTACAAGCGACTAACAAACCCTCTCTTCATCGTCGTATAGTCTCTTGCAATAGGGTTGGCCCTCTTGCAACTTGCCCTTATCGTTCTTGGGCGAAACTCGTCCCGGTTCGCTTCAGGACGTTCTTTGGCTGCTGCCTCCCTTGCGTTCATTGCAGCCCTGCTTCTTGTCCCACTGTCATGGATTGAGCATTCAAGAGCGCCACGACCTTCAACGGCCATCGCTGCCTACCTTTCCGTCACGTTATTATTCGACGTTGCTCGGACACGGACAGCATGGCTTCTAATTACATCGGGGCTGGGCCAGGAATACGCTTCTGTATTGACGACAGCCACTGCCCTCAAAGCTCTCATGATTTACCTGGAATCTCAACAGAAAGAGAAATGGCTTGGCTGGGAGATGAAGCAGCATAGCCCTGAGGAGACGAGCGGAATCTGGAATCTTGGCGTCTTCTTCTGGCTGAACACGCTGTTCATGAAAGGCTATCGTGTCATCCTGACGCTGGAGAGTCTATATCCCCTCGACAAAGCACTTGAAGCTGAATCACACCAACATCTTGTTGAGAAAGTTCGGAATAATCCATACAAGACTCAAAAGTATGGTCTAGCACGTTTACTGCTGCAGATCCTAGCTCTTCAGTTATTACCACCAATCATTCCCCGTGCAGCGCTCCTTGCTGCCAGTATGTGCCAACCTTTTCTCATCCACGCCCTTTTGCACTACCTGCAGAGCGAAAACCAAGCTCAGAGCCATGGATATGGACTCATTGGCGCGACGGCTCTGACGTACGGGGCCATCGCGTTCTCAACAGCATTATACTGGTACTTCCAGGAGCGTTTCGTCATCATGGTTCGAGGCATTCTTGTGCTCGCCGTGTATGAGAAGACAACAGAGCTGAGGATGCCCGTCGACGGCGACTCTGGCGCCCTCACATTGATGAGCACCGACGTGGAGCGCATCACAAGAGGAATCCTCGACCTCCATGAATACTGGGCCAATACGATCCAGATCGCTCTGTCTTGCTGGCTGCTTCAGCGAGAGCTCGGCGCTGCATTCGCTGCCTCTCTTGGCGTAGTCGCTGTCTCAACCTTGACAGCGTTTGGGATAGGTAAACTTCTTGGACCGCGCCAAAAAGAATGGATGGAGGCAATCGAAATGAGAGTTGGTGTCACAGCGTCCGCTATTTCGCAGATGAAGCTGGTTAAGATGTCAGGCATGACAAAGCCAATCCAGTCTTACGTGCAGAGACTGCGTGTGAGAGAGATTGAGATCGGTGGGCGTTGGCGTATGCTCCTTGCTGCAGCGGCTACTATCTCTCAGGTTCCCATGACCTTGTCTCCCGTTATCACATTTGCGGTGGCAACCAAGGCGCTCAACACTACCTCTATATTCGTCTCAATCTCATACCTTACCCTCCTCGCGTCGCCCCTGATGATACTGTTTCAGAAGATTCCACAGTTTCTCGGGGCGCTAACCTGCCTTCAACGGGTCCAGACGTATCTGGAACGTGAGCCAAGGTTTGAGTATCGCCATGTGCATAATGGCATTGTGTCAGCCGCGTCTATGACGTCGTCCTTTACTTCCATTGCTAGCACCAATGGTATTGGAGTTGAGATGCAGACTCTGGAGCAGAAAGGCACTCCTCACGTCGTGATCAAGAACGGGAGCTTTGGGTGGCACGAGAACGTTACTGTTCTCAGACATGTCAACATAGCCATTCCGACATCACATCTCACAGCTATTGTTGGTCCTGTTGCAAGCGGGAAATCCACCCTATGCAAAGCTATTCTCGGCGAAGTCCCCTTTGCGACAGGCTCTGTGGTTGTTCACCGATCTAGAGTCATTGGTTACTGCGATCAACAGCCGTTCTTAACGAACGCCACCATCCGCAACAACATCCTTGGTAGTAGCTCATTTGACGACAAGCGATATGCATCCGTCATAAACGCCACCATGCTCGATCGAGACCTCGCAAATCTCCCCCAGGGCGATAGCACGATGATTGGAAGCAGTGGCATTGCCTTGAGTGGCGGACAACGACAACGAGTAGCAATTGCTAGGGCGCTATACCTTGTAGATGCTAAACTCCTAATCTTTGATGACGTCCTCAGCGGTTTAGATGCAAGGACATCGGATCATGTGTTCCGGCATGTCTTTGGACGAGATGGCATGCTTCGTCGTCGTGGGGCCACTGTTGTTCTGTGTACACACAACCCTCGGCACTTCCAAGCCGCGGACTATGTCATTAGAATCAGCAGTGATGGAGACGTGACTGCAGAGAAGCCCGCTGGCGACGGTACACTTTCAAATACTGATCTAGGCTTCGCCTCAGAGCCAGCTTCGACTGAGGGACTTGCCAGTACAACAGACCCGACATCCTCCCAAGCATCACCAACTGTAGCCATGACTACAGAAGAAGCAGAGGCACGAAAGTTGGGTGACAGGAGTGTTTTTTCCTATTACATACGCACCATAGGCCTCATTCCCATTGCCGCCTTCGTTTTCGCTTGTGTATGCAACGGCTTCCTCAACAACTTTCCACGCATATGGCTCACTTTCTGGGCTGACGATGCGGCCCGACCACAAAGAGGATTGTCGCAACTACACTCTCAGGCCTACTATATCGGAATCTACGGAATACTCCAAGTACTAGCTTTATTATCTTTTATGGCTGCTGTCGTGCTAGTTTTAGGACCTTTTATCCGTCTCAGTGGGTCTGTACTGCACCAGAGGGCGTTGGAGACTGTTATCAACGCACCGTTGCAATTGTTGACAACATCGGATACTGGGACCATCACCAACTACTTTTCCCAAGATATAACTATCATTGACAATGAGCTCCCCATGGCTGTAGCCAACGTAGTGCTGGATGTCTTTGGTGTTGTTGGAATGGGGGTCCTTATCGCGTCATCATCGCCCTGGCTAGGACTGACTTACCCGGCTATGATACTCATCCTATGGTTGATTCAACGGTTCTACCTCCGTACATCTCGACAGCTTCGATTGTTGGACCTTGAGGCCAAGAGTCCGTTATACACACATTTTCTAGATACATCCAGAGGCATCGCCACCATTCGTGCGTTAGGCTGGACGGGAAAAAACATCAAGCACAATCATCGACTGCTGGACCAGTCCCAGAGGCCGATGTATCTACTGTCAATGGTACAGCGCTGGCTGTATTTGACCTTGAACGTAGTCGTTGCTGTTACGGCAACGGCTCTTGTAGGTTTGATAACTCAGCTTCGGTCCAGTTCAAGTCTTTCTGGTGCGTCACTTGTCACGCTGATGACATTGAGTCAGTCATTGAGCGACATTGTGCGGTTCTACGCCGCATTGGAGACTTCTATTGGAGCTGTAGCTCGTCTCAGGAATTTTACTACCAAGACTGGGACGGAAAGTGTTTTGCACGGTGACGTAAAACTTGATCGGCTGTGGCCATCGAAAGGCGTCATTGAAGTACAAGGAGTCTGGGCGGCGTACAAGTAAGTTTCTAGCTGAAGCTCTCTGAGAAGGCATTGAGAAACCTGACTTACAATCTAGATCCAGTGGAGGAGATGCTGAGGAATACGCGCTGCAAGGAATTGATGTCTTCATCCGAGCTGGCGAAAGGATAGCCTTGTGCGGTCGTACAGGAAGGTTTGCCTCTCATTATCACAGAGTCTTGAGACATTTTTGCTAACTGAAGGTGCGTGGCAGCGGAAAGTCTTCTTTCATTCTCCTCCTACTCGCCCTGTTAGAACCTTTGCAAAAGGATAATGCCGAGTATATGCTGTCCATTGACGGTGTCCCTCTCTCATCTATAAATCCTCAGATGCTCAGAGAAAGAATAATAACCGTACCGCAGGACCCAGTGTTCTTGCCAATAGGCAGTACTATTATGGAGAATCTAGATCCGCTGGGGGTAGCAACGCCAGAGCAGTGTCGTGAAGTTCTGCAAGCAACGGGCCTCTGGGATATGGTAGAATCACAGGGCGGGCTGTGCAGTATTCTATCAGAATCCTCACTTAGTCAAGGCCAAAGGCAGGTCTTCAACATTGCTCGAGCAGTACTTAAACGAAAAACGAGTGGCAGCTCTGTACTCCTCTTGGATGAGTTCACCAGCTCAGTCGATGCTGACACGGAGCGAGACATGCTGGCAATGATCGAGAGGGAGTTTGCTGGTTGCACGATAGTCATGGTCGCCCACCGACTGCACATTGTGTCTGAATTTTGCGACAGGGTGCTTGTTTTGGATCACGGAAGGATTGTAGAGGACGGTGACCCTCGGACGCTGGCAAGGGTTGATGAATCGTGGTTTGCGAGTCTGTTGGCAGCTGGGGGATGAAGGCAGGTTTAACATACATAGGTTACTGATTACGAATCAGTAAACCCATCGTGTTTTTTTTTTCAATTGTAGGAGCGAGATCGTCGTGTCGGCAGTTCATTCAGCGGACTGTCGGACCGATAGTGACATCAACAGCATGTTTCTGTACTGAGAAGGTGGTGATGTTTTGCATGGAGGGTCTGTGCATAGGTACGCGTCCTCAATTTCCGTGGTCTATCTCCTAGCTCATCTACGGGAGGAAAGCAAACTCAGGACCTTGATCCTGAGTGACAAAAAAGATTTAGGTAAGTTTCTTAGAGTACCTATACTAACCTTAGGATATCTTTTGCTGGGTATATTTTGACACCCTCCTTTAAGATCCGGTGTTTTCTTGGTCCCCGGGCCCCATTTCCTTAACTCCATGTGATTGATCGAATGTCATTGACTATACGCCATACCCAGGTAGGCAGGCCCCTTAGGTTTTACCTGTCAAGTCCATCTGCCGGCGCTATGACCCAGCTAGTCCTCGCTAGGTCGGAAGTTGGCCCTAGGACCCTTTTGAAGATGTCATGTGCAGCTAATGCAATTAATGGGAGCTTGGAAATGGGGATTTACAACACTTGCCGTAGATGTCAATCTTCTCAGCCTACTTCAAAGAAGAGAAGCTTCGTTTAAATCCACAAGGTCAGGCCATGTTGATGCAGTCCCTAATTTGCGCAATATAGCGCCCCGATCAGCTGTCGTAATAGCGCGAAGTTTAAATCAAAACAGTGCCATAACTTGATATCCATTGGAACAATGCCGGCGCTAGACGACACGTGCATCTGCGAAAATGTTCACGGACTCACATTTCACCTTGACAAAGCCTCATTGCCTCCACTCTGAAGCACAAGATTCCATTCATCACGGGTTGGCAAAAGGAACACGAGCCACGTATATGGCCACTGACAAACAAATTATGGATGTTCGGCATCTTGCCGGTAAGAACGGCAGGCGATTCTGCTCCCAAAGAGTCAATGATGTGATCAACTCATGGCCTTCTGTCTATCCAAGTGAGATCAAATCTCAGGAAACCCTTATTGACAATGGCATCGGCCAGGCATCACTAGAACGCACTTGGTCATAAGATGACCAAGTTGCTGAACCGAGAGAATGCCATGGGACAAGACTTTGCCCCGACGCGTACAAACGGTCTTTATTGCTAGAAGATAATTACGCCTCTCAAAGCTAGGTGAGTAGAGAGTTTATCCTGATAGTTTCCTTTATAACTCAATAGCGACAAAGATCATCGTAAATAGTTGTTGAATACGAGACCCACCGCATATACGGCTGCCGATCTACCCGCCTGCTCGGCACAGTCTCCGATAGGTACCCGCAGGAGACGGCAGGAATCACAGTACGGCAATACAGGGATCACCTAAGGATTCCAACGACCTTCTAGTCCGTATAGAAGAGAATATATAGTATAAGAATTGTAAGCTCTGAAAAACATATAAACTCCCGTCGCTTTCAGTATCAGAATCCAAGCAAGCACCAAACTCCTTCACATCAACTCCTTCATTTCCTCACCATCCTCACCCTACAAAGAAAATATGTTTATCCCAGCTCTGCTAGCTGCCCGTGGGCCTATCACGGCCCTGACCATCTTGGTGAGCACTGCAACCTTCAGTGCCGGTGCCTTCTTTGTCTCTCTTCGCAACACCGCTCTCGACTGCGCTCATGGCTCTGCTACCAACGCCGCCTGTAGTGTTGACATCCTCACTGATCTCGTCACTTTCATCGCCGCTGCTGGTGCCACCGCTGGAGCTACCTTCATCGGACTGACCACTCCCACTCCTCGCGACTCCCCTGTTTTCCGTGTCGATGGTGTTGATGTTGATTGGTATGAGAACGCAAACTCGCAGCGCCATGGACTCAACAGGACTATTGACAATCCCGCAGTCGTTGAGTGGCAGTTCAACCACACCTCACCTATCCAGACGTACATCACATATGAGAAAGATGGTTATCTCCATAAGCGCCTCGATACTGGAGTCGACATTCCTGACCCAAGTGGAAAGAGATCTTTGTGCCGCGCTTACTACGATACCCGCTTCTGGTCTGACGATCTGCGCAATTGGGAGTACCGTACGACGCCCTCTGCTTCTGTTTGTAAGTACACAACACTATGTCCCAGGTATCGGAGTCCATTCAGCTTACACAGAAAAAGGGGGCGACATTGGCGAAGATCTTTTCTACCAGTTTGTAAACAGGGAGTGGAAGGCAGGATGTGTATGGTTCAGAGGAAACAAGGCAGCTACCGGCGGCATATACGAGGCGTCTTTCGAGCTGGGTGCATCTTGTAGCCATGATGAGCCTGCCAATCTGAACTGTGGCAGAGCTAACTATGACGTTGAAGTTGCCGGCTTTCACTTCTAGTTGGGGGGTGGCCAGTTTCGACGACTGCAGCACAACTAATCATAGAAGACAAATGAAACAGGACGGAGGACGGTCTAGCACGCTATATCATTCTTTACCCAAACTATCAAGTAGATAGAACACACTCACTAGCACTTTTATATACTATCTTGTTGAAGTCCTCAACGGTGTCAGTTATAGTCCTATAAACCATTCAGTTGGGGAAGGGAGAATAAAGGTCACGTCTGCTATGTTTATCGGTTGCAAGTGTTAAATGTCTTATTAACATAGAAACTCACACTTAGTATTAAGACAAGGTACAGTGTATATACTAGCGATAATGTTAGTAAACATAAATAGCAGTCTTAAAAACCCTCAATAATATACATCAACTTGTAGATATGTGTTATTGTATATACTTAATTTTTTTTCTTTTTTTGCATCCTTTTATGTATTGTTTTATTGTTCTCCTATTTACAACCCAGATAGACAAGCCGAGAGGGAAAAGTCCAGGCCAACGGTCAGAGTAAGTCATCATCAAAAACGATGGGCCCTTTGTGTTTAGCCTCTGTAAAAACCCTCTCAATCTGTGCCCCGCCAAACCATCCTCTAAAATTCACTCGACTTGAAAACAGCCCCCCATTAAACAGCCACGCTTCCAATCTTCTTGTTCTGATCGTTAAAGATATGGAGCACCTTTGCGACAACAAGGTTGCCCAGTTCAATACCCGAAGTGCCAACAACCTTAAGAGCGGTTCCGCCCGCATCAAGACCCAGGTCAATGACACCAGAAACTACTTTAGTGCTGAAGTCAAAAACTACATTCTGTGCGGTCTTGAAGGGATTCTCGGCATTCTCAAAATGTGTAGCGACAATCTCACCGTTGACCTTGACGTTTGTGAGTTTGTCGTAGAAGGCGTTGATACCCTCATGGTTGCCGGGAAGTTGGTTGATCACGTAGTCGATGACAATGATGCCCAGGACTCTGCCGGCTGCATTGACGACGTGGATCTTGAAAAACTTGTTGATGGCTCTCTTGGATAAGCCTGAAGCTGCTTCATCGCTCACGTCGCGAGGGACGATGGCGACTTCGTTCGTCTCAACGTTGGCAGTCTGCTCAAAATCATCAGGCACAGCAGGTGCATGAGGAGCTCTGGCGACGTTGTCGTTGAAGGTGGCAGCATCAGAGGCTGGCACAGGCGAGGCTGTGACGCCTGTAATGGCAGCCAGGCCGAGGAGGATGGGACCAAGAGAGAACTTCATGGTGAAAAGAATGTTAGAGGTAGATAGTGGTGAGTTAAAAAGAGTTGAAGAGTGATCTATTGAATAACTTGCGAATGTGATGAGGAGAAAGATAATAAAAGGGAGCGGTATGTCGATATATTTATATGTAAACAACATCCAGGATCTCTGGTGATATCTCTTACCATGATACTGAACACATCCTGAAGCTTCATCTTCGGAGACAGGCTTGGATAGCAGGCATGTAATTGCGCCATGGTAGGGGTAAGATGAAGGACAGACTAGAATACGAGAATTCTAGTCCTATCATCATCTGAAACAACTCCTGGAATAGTAGGCTACCCAGTAAACTGGTAGGTAAATGTTAAACTTTAACTCTAAGCCTTGCTAGTACTAGTATGCCTCTCGGCCTTACCACAGATTTGGTTCACAAGTCAGATCTAGTTCGGCAATCACGGCACAGAATGTATTTAGAGTTCCAATAGCTGTAAGCCAAACATCGGATTATCGCTTAGAATGACTTAGACAAGTGGGATAGAACACGCCATCTCCCGTCAACCTTCTCAAAATACAGTAGTTTGAACTGTCGTATAGACAAAAGCGCGCGCAGGGCTTTCGCTAAAAGATATTCCGTTGACCTGAGGCTCGGCAGATGTAACCCTGCAACGATATAAAAATGTGCATGATTGACTACAAGCTATACATGTCTTTCCCCATACAATGAGGTATCTGTCTTTAAACAGATTTGCCGAGTATGGCTATGGCTGTTCGTATAACACATCTGCCGAGTAGTCTAAGTCCCATGTGATCATTTTCGACTCTCAGCCACAGGTTTCACCAGAACATATCACGACTAGCTTACAGTTCAGACGTTACTCTCTGGCGCGCCTATCATAAGCTAAAGCTTGGCGAAGTTAACAGCGCGAATCAAAAATGAAAGTGACAACGTGCTCGATGTACGGGGTGCGTTGAATTAGTGCACCCGACACAGAATAGCATCTAATAGGCGCCGGGTAAGTAACCCCAAATTGATGTTCCCAGAGACGCTCAGGGTCTAGAGCGCTCGTATTATTTCTACCTGCAGCTGTGTTTTATCAATCGGCTACTCGCTGCATAGGTTGCCTCAATCCCCTTTCTGCCGGTTTGATCTTCTCTGTATAGCGTCTCCTCGGATTAATAGCTATAGCTCCACGTATTATACTGTTGGCAAAAGTTTCCCAGTTTTCACTTAGAAGTTAAGTATTTAATGTCTATCTTTTCGAGTGGCATATCTGTCGATTTCACGTTCAGTATTGTTTTAAGCAACTGAGGACTTATACCTAACGTATACCCAACTTTCTCTTCGCCGCAAGCTTCTCCTTAAGACGCGTAAAACAACACATGTAGAAGCCAACAGCATAATCCAGTATACAAAGTCGCTTCCTTGGAACATGGCGGTGGTTAGAGAGAGTTCCAATCCATCTTCTCTTCCCCTCCCACAAAGGCTTTCGCCGACTTGTGGCTGTAGTTTCACTCAATGCCGTTGCACACCGTAACAAACCAGTCTCTTTAATGACGCCCTTGATATCACAGTCGTATAACTGGAGGCTGAAGTAGCGTGCCAGCTGTATTAAGATGCCCAAGTTGATCCTTTGTTCTTATGGCCACATATATACCGTTCTCCAAAGGGAAAGGCTGGGTTCTACCAAACGATGGGCCGTTCGCATAAAGCATTTCACATTGTATGTCAGCGGCGACATCAGGCAAATAGTAGCTTCACCGCAGAATCATGATACAGACTAGCTCGTGAAACATTCCGAGCACTGAAGTAATGCCGTTGTGCGGGAACCTGAGCCTGGTGAGATTTACTGTCATGAAAACCCTACGAGATGGCGTGGGCGAGAGGTCTGAAAGGTTTTTGGGAAATCAGGGCCAGGCAGATTAAACAACTGGGTCGTAAGGTTTAAAGGCGGTGTGACATCAGATCTACTTCCAGGAGAGTAAGACACGAGGTCGATTGCAGATAGTCCTGTGGGACTAGGCAGGCTATAGTACTATAAGTACCTAGTGATTTAAGTTCCCTTAAAGAGGGGTTAATACCGGGATGTCCGCAGAAATTATAGCCGCCGTGGCTTACAGGTGTCTCATTGATTCCGAACCGCCAAGGCGGCTGTACGGCTGTGGCCAGGTCGTTACCGCCTTTGGCTATGAGGGCGAGCCAATGATCCCATGCCTTTCAAGCCATGCAGCTTATGAGGCCTCCTGAGTGGAAAAAGGCAACTAGGCGAACCACAACCTTACCGACTATTGGAGGGGTATGTTCAATCCCTCACAAAGATATAATCTCTAACTTGGAGCTAACATATTATATCTAAGTTGGTGTCTTCTCGATTACGACGCCTCGTCACAGCCAAGAACATGGATATCCAGAAGATAGGCGCATCATTGATTTCTCAGACCGCGGAAGCCAACTTTGGTCTGGCCACGCTCAATGTTGACTTCAGTGTCATCAAGCTTCAGGCGCCGGCAGAATATAAGCCACTGGGAAATGAGTTAACTCCTTCACGACGAAGTGCGGCTGAGGATGGTATGCCTCATGTCACAGCACGGAAATTGGGTGCTTTATTCCAGGATTGGATTCCTCCAGTACCAGATCTTATCAAGGCCTATGGACGGCGTGCGGTAGAAATTGCGCAATGCCGATCGGTTAATCCCAAGGCATCAAAGTCGGATGGAATATTTGCCGATCACATTGGAATAGATGGGACTGGTATATGGGCAGCTGCCACTTCGGGCCCTCACGCCATCCCGGTTTATTTGCTTGCCTGCATGCTTGCAAGAATGTGGTCTACCGCGGAAGCTACATCTATCTGGACGGAACTCGTCTCTGAAAGGAAGCGTGAGCTTGCCGGAATTGAGGAAACTGACCCGTCATACGAGAGAGCTCAATTTACATCTCGCATTTCGATTCCGCGAGAGGATCTTGCTCATTGGGAAGCGAGCGCACGATCTTGGCTTCAGGCTGCCGACAGATCGATGGCTAAAAAGCAGAAGCAACTCATGCTCATAGTGGACAACACCGAACTTCCTGTCAGCACGACACCACAACTTTTTGAAAACGTTCGGGGCTCTTGGAGATCTGCTATGGTAGCTATTGACTCTCTTGTGAAAGGACTCCCTCAGTCTGTCCAAGATGGAGCCGTGCTACTAGGCCTTTCTTCTTGGCACTTATATCCGGACATGGTTGTGCTTGGCAAGGGACCTTCACCAGTTCGAGTGGAACAGAAGGATGACCTTATTAACCCAGCGGGGCTTTTGACGATTGGGCTTAATATAGCGAGTTCAAAGCACCATGGAGTGTATTGGTCTCTCCCACTTTCCCATCTCCGCTACTACGGCGGGCCCGTGATGGCGGAGAGATCACTTGCAACTCAGGGAAATCGCATCACGGTTCAAGAGCTATTTCAAGTTTCGGTCGGAAGCCTGACTCGGTCATGGAATAAAGATCGGAAGAATATAGCCTCCATTATTGCCCAACTCTGGGGGTATATCGATTCTGAAGCCCATCAGCATGCCGCCCCAGGAATGATGCACTGGTTGGGCTATATTGCAAGGGCTATGGATCCACTACTTCATTCAGGAGATTTGGCCCAGAAACAATGTCTCCAGCTCATGCGCTATGGGGAAAGGCATTGCCAAAGCTTTCTGGAAGAAGGGAGACCGGTTCCCGAACTGTTCGGCATACTAAAGCTCACGACGCTTCTGCCTCTTCTTAATCATGAAGAAGATGGGGTTGAGATTCTACGCTCATATGCAGAGTCCATCGGCCAAAGCAGTGAGAGGGCTTATCTTATTCGATACTTGGTTGGGAAAGGTGACTCTAAGAGCTACTCTCTAAACTTTGAATATGCTACAGCTTTTCCAACTCAACGGCCGTCATTAAAGAGGAACTACGATGGATCTTCTATTCAAGGAATCGGACATGTTCGTTGGGTTCAAACGCAATTCGCGACAGATGAGAATATGAAAGAGTGGTACTATGATGACTCGAGACTTCAAAAGATTGCAAGCATGGGAGAATGTGCACTTCCCATCGAATCGGAAATGGTTTCCGTAACCAAGGGGGACAGTTCCTTCACTTGGACGGGCCCGCCAACGATTTTTGAAAGGTTCAAGTCAAACAATAGTTTTACTTCATTCGTTGACCTAGACGGAGATACAAATACTGGTTTGGAAGAGTTCTATCCCAGCGAGGTCTCTTTTCATCTCGTCGCTGGGGACCCGAATCGGATTGCATTGTATGCAACTCAGCCTCTGAATGAGCGCACTGGCTCACTCTCTCTACCCACCCAAATTAATATCGAAGCACTCTCGGGATCACTGGAGAGAGGCTCGATTAGCCCGTTGAAGCTATTGGGGTACCTTGATGCCTTTATCATGCATAGGCGGGACCTTCTGTCGAGCTTACGGGCGCTTGTCACTGTGGAGAATATTTACAAGATGTTACCAAATTCCCTGTTAGCTCTCGGTGTCACATCACAGCCTCTATTCAAGATGCCATGGATTCCGAATATCGACGTCATGGGATATCAATTTTCTGCGTTCTCACTTGACATTGGGAGAACCTTTGCTTGCATAGCTTTATTTGAATCTGGATGTCTTGCTGTCAGTCCTGATAACTTGAGCAATGTCTTGGCGATGGCCACCGGCGATTCCATCTATATCGCAGCGGCCCTTCTCTGTGATCCCGCTGAAGGTGCTTTGCCCTCTGAAGTTCGACGAGTGTGGGGAAGCATTGGAAAGCCTGGAATAGCAATGATGATTCCGCCCACAGAGCCTCAGATTCGTGATGTGGAGCGAGACTGGAGGGTTGTGACCCACGATACGTTCGACGGGAAGCTTGAGAACTCGTTTCAGTCAACTACTCTCCACCTCCGGTTCACCGACTACGTCCTTCCAATCGACGTTGGTGCTCACGGAAACAGAGACTTTGAGGTCTACTTTCTAGAATCTGTTGTGTCTATACACGATCATGGGGAATGGGTTGCGGACCTTGATATATTGGGCCAACTTAGCTGCCCATATCTACGGATTCTGGACAATGCGTGTCTGCACACTGACTCTCATACCACAAATCAAATCGCCATAGGAAATCCACAGTTCACAATGATCGACAACTGGAACGAGATATTGGAATCTCCCGGGAATCCCTCGATTGTGCGCTCTATGGGCAATTGGCTTGGTCGTCTGGCCACAATGGCTCTTTGTCTGCAAATGGGTCATCCGACTATTGTTCTGCCGAATCAATTTTGTTGGGAATGCATTATTGAAGAGTGGAGAGAGATCAAAAAGTCTCAGGACACAAAAGAGGATACCCCCTCCAGTCCAGGGTCGGAGAGCCCCGAGCAGACTGAGTCAGGATCTCTTGAAAAGGCAGATCTTCGAGATTTTGCTGCTAGTGCACTGGTCTCCAGTAACACAGAGTTGTCGAACCATTATGAAGATACTACAGAGCTTCTGTGGAATTCTGATTTAAAGAAATGGACTTCCACTTCCTGCAAACCTGTACCCAGTACCCAAGTCCCTGACCTTACGAGCAGCAAGGAAGACATGTCTAGCAAAAGAATTTTAGCGGAAATGTCTGATTTGGTGGTTATTTGTTAAAGTTTCATAGCATTTAGTTGTAATCCTATTGCTATTGACATCGAGATTTTTAACCAGTTTCCTTCTCTATGTTGTACGCATTAGGTAGTCATTATGGTATAATGTTTAAGTTGTTAGCTAGATGTATTCTTTGTTGCCGAGAGGTGTGGCAAAGAGCCTGAATCAATATAGAGAACTTAAGATGCTCTCGTCTTCTCTCCGTAGAAAGTCGGAGAATTATCTAATAATAGAGGAGTTAATAAATTGTAACTAATAAGAACTCAGGAAACTGTCACTGCTTCAATAGTTGCCTAAGCCACAAAAGGTCTCGATTTTGCAATACTAAAGTACTTACGTCAGATCATAGCCCCGGAGTTACTTTCAACCAATGAGGAAGGTATGGCATGTCATTAGGCTACAGATCTGACTAGAATTATATCTCAGTCAGGCTGAAAAGCGGTTATCGGCACTTCACACACAAAGTCTTAAGACCCCCAATTAAACCCATGCATCCACTGCAGCAAGAATTATTGGTTATCGTAGAATATTTAGGTAAAGATTAAGTTCAGGAAAACTAATTACGTCCTTGTTGATTATAGGCAACCTCAAGCTTAACTTTACAGACGGTAATCGACTGCTGGTTACACCCATTGCGTTCCGTGCTGAATCCGATATCATTCGTGACTTGCTTGTGGTGTGTTGATACGTATGTATGATTCTCCCCGTTGTGAGTCTAGGACTTGGCCACTAATTCTGAGGTCCCTCTCAATAACAGCCCGTCCTTAGAGGCACTGCGCACCATGTGCGTCAATGGGGTATAAGAACCCCGTCTAGCCTGTCAAAGTCCCCAATTCATTCACGCCACGGCCAAGATTCGAGAAGTTCATTACTTTGGTTCGCAAATTTTCCATATCCCTTAAACTCAAACACCATCCTCCTCCTTGCCAACAATCCACAAAGACGCTGTGTTGCCTATATGTCAGCATATACTTTGCCGATTGCGGAGGAAACGCTGGAAGGTAATGGGTCACCCTTACCGACTGGCTGGATGGCCAAGTGGAGCCCTGAGCATAATGCATGGTAAGTCTCACCAAGTTAAATTTCGTAAGAGGGTCCGAATGAGTGGCTCAGTCTTGTGTTCTAGGTACTATGTCTTTCTTGCTACAGGGGCCACTCAGTGGAAACATCCCGAGGCCCAACACAAGCAACAACAATATCAGGGCCTTCAAGGTCCAGATCCGAACATCCCTGCGATTGAGAATCAGCCAACTACCATGGAAGTGGGGATGGATACACAAGTCACTGCGGATGGAGATCGTGGCCTAGGAAAGACTGCACTGGCCATGGGTGGAGGCTTTCTGGCTGGCTCTACGCTTCGCAATAAACTTGAGAAGCATCACGAAAGCCATGGCCAACAAAATGCCCTGGGGAAGATGGCCCAGTCTGTTACAATCGCTGGCGCTGGCGCCGTTGGAGCCAAGATAATGGGTCTTTTTGGAAACAAGCAGCAAGAGCAGCACGCAGCACCACCCGTACAGACAGCAACTTATACGCACACGCAAACACAGACGCACTACTATCCAGTCTATGTACCTGGACCACAAGTATCGCCGCCGCCGCTTTGTTATGGGCAACATCCACAGAGCACCTCCAGCTATGCTCACAGTCCCGCTGTTGAAACAGTTGGCGCGACTCCTGATATACAGAGTTTGGGCTCGCCATGGTCTCTTCAAAGCCCTGGTTCTGTAAGTGCATTCCAGCCTCAGAGTGGCCCACTACTGCATATACATGGTGCCGTGTTTGCAGACAAGAACGTTACGCAAATAGTTCGAAGCCTGGTAACCCCACAACAAACTCTGCAAATCAAAGGAGATTCGCTGGTTGAACACTTTGGGGATCCATGGCCTGAGGTGGAAAGAAAGATGTTCAATGTGCTGTATTCCTACGGAGATCGGCCTATGGAGCTTCTTGCCGCTGAGTAAGTAAAGTGTGATTGGATTGTAACGACTGGTGGTTAACCTGTCTCGTGAAAGCACGACCTCATCAAATATCGAAATCAAACATGAGGCTATATCCAAAAGACGAATGGAGTTCTGCCAGGCTCCTCCGTCGCCAATTATTGCCGTGGTTTGGGGATACGAGAATGTATTGACGTAGGTATCAGCTCGTTTCGACATACTAGTTGCGCGTGACTGACAGCGTTGCACAGAAGGTCGAGGATAGAACAGCTGGAGAAAGAAGGTGAGTTGGATGGTATGGGAGATACGCTCGGAGCAGGTGGTTTCTGGGGTTGGGAGCCAAAGACGTTGGTGTGCTATTTTAGGACGAGTACGGGTGGGGTTGGGATCGCGTCTTGTAGAGACGGAGGGACAATCCGGCTACCCTGGAACCCGCTAGCCAAATGGTCTTAAAATTAGCAGTAAGACGTATTCTAAATACGCATTATTTGAAAGACCTAATTATACATTTAAGAATATTGATAAATATAAAACTTGCCTCTTAAAGGCCCTTTTAAATACGCTTTAATTTAAAGAGTTAAATACCTTACTAACTAGATATTCAAGATGATACATAACTTTCTTACCATCTCTACTTACAAAACTCAAATAGTAATGAGTGCCATCCTATAAAACGACTGAGAGATCTATCATACTTCATCTCCAAGCTAACCTATGAACCTGCAATACCTAGTAAACTCGCCATCTGCTAGTACTGCATCAGGTTCTTCTGGCAGCATACCAATAACAAACTCAATACTTCCGTCTTCGCGCAGTGGATGTATAACCGCCATCCGGAATGCCGCATTGATAGCAACCATCTGTATGCGCATCGCTGACGGCATGCCGCTGTCATCCAGTAACTCGTCTCCAAAGGAGATAGCGCTTGTTTGGAAAAGCATCAAGTTGGTGACTGCAATATGCATCCCGTCCATCCCCATGCACGCGGTAGTCACCTTGGTGTAGTCAGGTACCGACTGCAGCAGCGTGAATGCATCGTGGACTAATGAGGGTGTGATGTGAACTGTTGCAGCTCGGAGCACCTGGGCAACTTGCCCGACTGTTGTGCCTGTGCCACAGAGCATCGCCACAGGCATACTTGGTCGGTTGATGATGACAAGATTACCCATATACGACTCTGGTAGCAGCTTTGAGAAATACGGTCTGACGTCGATAGGTAACTCAACTATGGCCATTTTATCTTCATCAGAGGTCTCGCACCACAGATGAGTCTTCACACGATGACGCGCTCTTATGGCTGAACGCCAGACGAACGCTTGAATAGTATCGCTGACCGATGTCACGCCCTCAGCTGTAGGGTCTTGCCGAAGCTGCTCAACCATTTCTGTTGACATGACAAAGGTGAATGCTTTCATGAGCCGACCGTGGGAAGGGAGGGTCGGTGGCCATTCGAACTTCCGGAGGAAGACTGGAGCCGGAGGGAGCGACGACCTGTTCATGGGGTTATTGACGTGGGTCCCGTCCTCTGCCTCGGCCGGGTCTGGGATGTAGATGAAACCCCATACGTTCTTGTCTACTTGACCAACTGGTTTCACATATCCCTCTAACTCGTAGAGAATTTGTGGAATATTACGATTCATACTCTGCTGGTCCAGCCAATCGCAAGTCGCCGAGGCTTCGCCTTGCACATAACGGCAACAATCGCTCCAGATACGCATCACCATGATGGCTCCCGTACCATCAAATCATTGGTGGTGCAAGTTGATGGCCAAAATACTACCGCCATCGATAAAGTTGGCCTGCGCCATGAACACATCGGCCGGCAGCGGCGGCGCCAACGAAGAAGAGAGTACAATGTCGTCTGCAAAGCTTGAACACAGGAAGCCCCCGCCAAGAAGTTTTGGGAAGGACGGGAGCACCGTCGAAAGGTCTTGGTAACCTAACGTCATGTTCGGCTAATGTATTACCAGTGCGACATTACAATCAATGGGACATCCATCTTGATCTATGACCCTCCTGCAAGGCTCGGGCCTAGTTTAGCTCTAAGAACGTAATCACCGCCTAGCGCTTATCTTTTCAACGTGCCACGCATAAACCTTATCAACACAGACGGCAAAGACTGAGAGCGAGCCACAAAGTATCAACGCGAGGGATAACAAATATCCCATCGCCAAAATCTGCAAATCTATATGTCGATTAAATAAGCTCATCGCAACCTTAACTCTTCTTAGAAATCCTTGCGACCTATCTCGAAACAAAAGTCCTAGTCAAGTGCCAAGCCCTACTCATACAAGTATTGGTATATTGTTGAACTCTACTGGCATTTCGTATAAGATCCTAGTCAGTTAGCAAAATTATTTAAAGTTGAGGTACTTCTATTCATTTTCACATGTAATGCCGCGTGTTAAATTGGCTGTGGCTTGAGTTGACCGAGCGGCTTTGCATAGAGATGATGATTTGCTATAATGGCATCTATAGCAGCAATCAGCGCTCGTTATATTTCAACTCGATCGATTAGCCAACGCACTCAAATCAATGATATCGTCGAATTTGTCAGTTCAGACAAATCAAATCCCAAACTTCTCAAGTTAAAATGATTCATGAATTACACGTGCACTATGTGGTCGGGCTGATTTTAGGGAATACGCTGATTATCCCGGGCTTTCCCCGTATAGCACCGTGAGAAAGGTTAAGGCTGGCATAACTCTTTCACAGACGCAACAGGCAGGTGCCCATCTATTGGCATCCGGTCTCCCGGTGTGGGCGACGCCTACGAAGTCTTGTGGGCTTTCATTTTTGCTCAAAATAGTTTCGGGCCCAAGCGCTGATGATCCTGCAGGAGGCCCACCAACTTGGATTCTCTGGTACATATACCAGTGAAATTAACGGAAGCGCTTTAGTATTGTTCACATAGAGATCTATCTACAACGCCAGCTGGATGTCTTTTTGGGATTGCCGCCAACATATGTCTGTGTCTTGGGGTACAAACAATGCTGACGCTGAAAGTCAACCCCGTTACTGACAGTGTCGTTAATGAACTTTGTACCCGTTAAACTCGCAGGCGCTTGGCCCTTCTCGACCCAAGCCACCATGGCCGCCAATACATTATGCTGGGGGTCAAAAGGAATACCCGCAGCAGGAGCACCACCGCCTTGACCAACAGCCCAGGCGCCCGGACCAGAGTTGCAATGGAACATGCCTGACATACGGAAATAGCGATAGTAGTCCTGCAGGTTGTTATCGGCAGAGTACATGTGGTTCCAGAAACGCTGGGTGTTGAACTGAGTGATTTGGTTATCCTGACCACCGTGATAGCTCAGTAACTTTCCACCACGTTTCTTGAACTTGGGTAGTTCTTCAGGGTAGGTTCGTATGTCGGAAGGGTTCAGCTCATCCGCTTTTCGGACATCGTTCGTGTTGTAGGTGCTGGCATCCCAGTTGGGGTCATTGTATACAACGTAGCGGAACCAATCTTCAGAATAGCTGAAGGGAGTGCCGGCGATGAGCTTGGATACGGCCTGGAGTTCATTGCCAGGGTTCATGCGAGGAAAGATGAGCTTGCCGTTGGGATAAGTATAAGGAGCGTAGATCTTTTGCAGTTGAGCGATTTGAGCTGCGTTTAAGCAGTTTTTGGGACGTCTGGGGCCGCATTGCAGAGTCTTTGGGTTGAAGAAACACTTGTCTGGTACCTCGATGATTCCATCCTCAACGCCGTCAATCTTGTCGCACTGCCGGAGAACTTCGTCATGGATTAGGCCTTTCCAGGTTTCAATGGGTATGTAGTTGGGTGAGTCTGCAGACCCTGTGATTGGGTAGAACATTGCCCTCTGGCCTTGGAGATTATTGAAGTCAACAGCTGGGCATCCCGCTACAATTCCGTCATAGTCTTTCGGGTACTTCTCTGCGGCCTTGATACCCATGCGACCGCCCAGCGAGCAGCCAATATAGTAATTATGAGCTGGTGATTTGTCGTAGAAAGCTTTTATGAGCTTCTTGGCGGAACGGGTGCCAGTGTGCAGACTTTGATGGTCAGCTAATGGTTCTGAGGAAGATCACAGTACTCACGCTCTGTATGAGAAGTCCTTGATAATGTCGGGATTGTTCAGCATCGTAATACCCGTGGTACCATTATGGCCGTTGTTGGTACCCATGGTGGCGAAGCCATTAGTCGTGCCGTAAGCAAGATCCTCGTACTTGATGCCTAAAGGTCCTGGGTCAGCTTTGCGATAACGCTAAGCTTGTACACTAAGATTTCACTCACATCCATCAATTCCACCATTGCCAGTTGCCAGATATCTCGATCCCTTCCAATCACTGGGCAGCCAAAGCTCGAAGCTGATTGATGACCGCTTTGAGGTAGGGATTTGGAGGGCAATTCGACAGAGGTCGACTGTGACGGCCTGGGAGGCGCGGTTGCATGTCGGGACGTTGTCTGAGAGCTGCAATGTTGTACCAGCGGAAATAAACTCTTGTCGCGTCAAGGTAGAATTGTGAATGTGCTTTGTCGGCTTCAAGGCTAGACATCTTTGGCGGAAGTCCCTATAGTCATCATGACAAACAACAGTAGATATTAAGCAACTGAGTACAACGAAACACCAGCAGAGGTGCAGTAGGAAAGACATTATTGCTCTGCTTGCCTTGACTTGTACCCAACCCGTCAATGCTGTACAACTGCGGCTCAGCCTCGAGTTAAAGAAGCAACGACAAAAAGAGGGAGGGGTGAGATGGGATGACGAACAAATGTCTCTCGGTGACTAATCCTTGTTCCACCGAAATTCCCGAAGCATGACTAGGATAGGCCTTGGCAGGGAGTATGTAATCTTCATAGGCGAGGTGCAGGGGCGCGGCGCAGATGCTGCAGTTCGTGCTCCCCGAGATTGAGGCGGAGATGGAAGATGGAATCGGATGATGACAGGATTTTAATCGGGCGCAACGGGTTTCCTTGTTGGTACATGTGTAAGCACTAAGGAAGTTTATTTCCGGTCCCTTTGGAACTAACAGCAGGGACCGCGATAAAATGCACTGAGATTCATGGGCCTCTAACAATACGCTGATTAATTTTCAGCACTGGCTTTGTACTGTTGATTCTCATTTCTCAAGGCTTGAAGTCACAAGATCCAATCCTTTCAGACCCCCAACTTCCCCACGAGTTATTCGTAGGTACCAGTGTAGCTCAGAGCTTGCCCCGCTGTCTCTATCGAAGCACGGGCTTCAATTCAATCGGACGGGATGTGACAGTTAGCTTGACGTTGGACAGAGATCGTGGGTCCCGTTGGAAAAGGGAACTGTGGGCACAATCAGTTCATCTTGGCAATGTGGAAAAAGCGACATACCTAGACTTATACGCGGTTTAAAGCCAACGAAGGACTATTGGTGGGATCAGACTGCCCGCAAATAAGCCAAGGCGGCACTATCACCCCCGTGCGGATACTAAATTTGACAACAAGTCAGGGTAGTGAACATGGTTGTAGCGGATAGATAACGAGACGAACCTACTGAACCACACGCTTGCTCTACTGACGTCTTGTGATAACGGTAATTTTTCATGTCTGTATGTGATAGGAAAAAGCGATCTTACATCTGCATCTCAATTACCTTTGCAGCCCTATGTAGCTTGACAATTGCGTTATAAACGCCGGTCTTAATACGATGGCAGAAGTCAGGCTAAGATCCAACGTCTTATTCATACTCAACGCATTATAACAGGATCTCTATGTGTCCAAACATATTCTACACATTTTCATGCTTTGTACTGGTATGGCGACCGGGCACAAATAACTCTTCAGTACTGCGGTCTCTGCTCTGCAACTCAATGTTCAACACCTCAGTCTTGGCTGTCCCGATCTTGCTAAAACCTTGACGATCAGCCCTTCGTATTTGGCTTGCGGTTGATGTCATAGCACCTGAGCTGTCCATTCTAGTCCTTCGTGTGCGTGAGGTACTCGTGACGGTCGTCGCTATCCCACTAAAGACAACCTGGAAACAAGGGCGCATCGTCATGATAGTAGACACAATGACGGCCGTGAATATCTCAGCCATGGCGAGAGTATTGGGCGTAGTGTTGTACCCTGACATGGTTAAGATGACGACAAAGCATTAGGATTGGGAATGGACATACAGTGAGGATCAGTAGCAGCTCCCTCGTTCGGCACGTAGATCATCACAACGCGAACCACAGCACAAGCCGTATGTCTATTTCGTCAGCTTGTCAACGTAAAACCCTTCCATCGATAGCTGCGTCAACTTACGCAAGTCCCAAGGCAATGAGAAAGAGGAATTGCCATATCTCCTTTGTCCGATGCCCTGTTGACAGAAGAGCAGGAAATGGTATCAAAACAAGCAAGACAGACGTAAAAGAGTTAATGTAGGCATTTGCTACACGGAACTTGGTGTTGTCGATGCATGTCCCGTCGATATCACCTTGCCAGGCTTTACGGATCGGGTTGCACTGAAAAGTTGATACCAGAGTGCCGCCAGTGTAATAGGCGATGATGACGCCCATCAGTGCAAAATTGGCATACCGTGCAATTTTTGTACTCAATAGAACAGGTTTGCTGAAGATGTTCATATAGATAGTACAAATAGAAAGCTTGATCACGCCTGCTGTCGCCTTGAAAAAGACCTGGTTAAGCCAGAAGCACTGTCCTTGTTAGTGGCGAGATGGAGTAAAGGGAGGTGAGGTGAAATCTACAATCTTCGGCGTTAAAGCTTTCTGGATCTCCGGCGGCAGGTCATCTTTGTGATAACCATAGCCCCATCGGAAGTATGCTGACACTTTGTTAGAGGTGTTTCGTCCACAAACTCGCGACACTTACGGTCTAGGTTAAAGCCAGCAAGACAGATGCTCAAGGACTGAATGATCAGTATGTGATAGAGAACAATACGATGAGCTTACTTACTAGACCAACTATCAATAGGTAATCTGGCAGTCCAATGACCTTCTTCCAGAGACGCCAGGATATTCTCCATGTGACTAAAATAGTAGCACTAGCCAGCAACGTAAGCGTCACGGCTTTGAGCTTGGCCGAGTTGTTAGGCCCTTGGTAGTACTCCGGCATGGACGTGTACTGGAAACTGCAGCTCCGAAGAAGAGAGTTCAAGGCAAAACGGAGAGAAGACCAAGGAACCGGTGCACCTTTATTTAAAACGTAACATGCATGCGCACACTGCCTGCAGCAGTACATTGCAAATAAACAGCCCATTTGACATTTAACCTTAAAGCCGATGAGAACTTTGTTGCGGACAGGGTATTGCCACACACGACAGATGCTGGATCCGCATCCTGGTAGGAGTTCGGACGAGACCATCAATCTGTGACTCGGCAGGCTCGGTTATTTGCATGGATCTTTGCATGCAGATGCTTTTGCATTGCTGCAATACGACGTGTTGGAAAAGGGAAGCTTCCTGTATAATGCATGGTGATTTAGTTCAGCAAGACTGGCGGTTATTGGGTTATTTGGCGGCTCCAAGTCATGTCCCTCTATGATGCACTTCCTCACATAGCAATTAAAGGCCACCTTCAGACTGAACTTTTTACCACAATCTTAACCATATCACTCGCGTGTTTAAGTTGTCTTGTTCCCAAAGATTCTAAATCAGCTTCTTGCAGCCAGAGTGCCAAGATTCCACGACTATTCTGCACAATGGTAGCCATTAAACCTTAAGTGCCACACATTTCTTTACCAACAGGGCGGGAACTTGCAGCTGCCCGAGCTCTTCTCCTTGACCGTTGCCGATCCCATGGAACCAACAATCTCTTTCCCCTGATCAGATATCGGGTTCGGGTTAATTGTCGCCGATACACAGGCATATCTCCTCTACCATTGGCCGCCCACTTCCCTTCTGAAACTCGCTTGCCGGTAATCGGCTCCCCATTGCTTGGCACCTTTTTCCATGAGACTCATTGCGCCAATCATATTGACGAAGCGCGAATCTGACAATCATTCCCCGGCGAGCCAACAAAAATTTCAACAGACCACACTCGTACAGCATGGCTGGGGTTAGAGGTTGTTCCGGCAAGCATGTAACCTTCTTGAACCGGCGTCGCTTCCGACATTCCTCATTTAGTATAGACACCGCACAGGGACTAGGGACGGGACGGAAGGAAGGCCCAGCCGATTCCGCTTTGACAATCAATGGCTCCGGCCTCCAAAAATTTCGGCAATGCAAGGAGTACACAGTTCAAGGCTACTATACTCACCAACGGTCGCATCAACAATTTAGAGTAATACATATGAATGTCCTTGATGAATCCTTCAAAACTAATAGGTATATTATATTGATTACCTTCTATACTTCATAATTAATATGTATCTCGTCCTTGCTATAGAAATTATGCAGTAACTAATCCTAGCCACTATGGCAAGGCTTATTAGCTATAGCTTCAGAAGGTACCCTACACCTAACCTCGAGCTGCATTACTGCCTGCAGCATGTCATGCCTCGCTGCACCTGAGCTTGTATGTACTGTGTCAAGTCGGAATACGCTCCATAGCTTCGAGATGTAGCAGGCATACAGTTTGACCATTTGTATGCTCTGCCGGAAAACAAACCAGCAAGCGATAGATCCATTTTCAAACAGGCCACCAGCATGGTGAGGCAGGTCGTGACCTGCAAATATGGTAAGATGCGCAAAACAGCAAGTATTGCATGCATGTAGATAACATCACAGTCAATGACAGATACATAGCTAGCATTACAACTGAGATGACGACAGACATAGAAATTTTGAAATAGAGCATGAATCCCAGTGATTCACTGACTGACCTCTTAAAATTACACACGAGTGTCAAAGCCAAATATTTTCAAAGGGTGTGTCTCAGGTGCGGTTGCCATCGTTTGGCCCATTAAAACCTGCGCGCTGGACCTCGCAAAGTCAATTGATCTATTTATGGAACGATCAACAGTTGTGGCATTGATTGACTGCTAGTGTCGAGCTGAAATATCTCGACAACAAACACAATCAGTCTAGTGCTGTTGATCAAATGTTGGGACAAATGCCACGTCACAGACTGTCTTACAATTGACGTCAGTGGCATTTGCTGGGGACATATGTACATATATATTGCCGCTTGCTTCACTCCACGCTGCTCATTGCTCGTCATTTAATAACCCAGCCTCTTGAATTCATATTTAAATTACAACTCTTACCATGAACCCAAACACTGAAGTTGTTGATGGCGTACTTGTGACCAAGTGCGATGTATGTAATCCCAATCGGAACATCGGATCCCATTCCTTATTACTAACTGCTCACAAGTACCCCGAACCGACCGCAGAGTGGACAAATGATTACCAGCAAATGGGTGGTGACGAGGTTTGGGGTGAAGGCGGTAAAGTCTCCGAGGTTCTAGAGCGTCACGGGCTGAGTGGTGACATCAAACCCCTCTTCGCCCTGGATGCTGAATCAGGAGCGCCATACACATTGTTCGAGCTCGGCGGAACGTTCTATTTCTTCACTGCATCCGATGATTCTCTTGAACGCATCACCTATCCTACAGGACTTGGGGAAATTCTAGGATATATTGGAGATCCAGATGGCGGACTCAACGATATTTCAACAAAACCACTCTAGAACCTTACAGTCTAGAGAATCAGGCAAGAGCCTACACAAAGAGAACATAAAATGTCTTTGGCACTACTGTCATGCCTCCTACCTTGGTGATTCTCTTTACTAAGTCTTCTGCCGTCTTATACTTCTCTTACCTCTCTACGATTTCTAAAAGATTAGCTGCAAGCCTCAAGAAGTATAGGAAATGTCGCCTTGTATATCCCAGGTACAAATAATGTTGGTACTTGGCTAACTCTACTAAATGTACTAATACCTGCATACCTCTCAAAAAAACCTTTACTAGTACATTGTCTTTTAACCAGTATAAGGATGTAGTTCAGCAGGAACACAAACATGATTTTATTACACTACCGTACCATCTTTATTACTGCTAACTTCGTCTCTGATTTCACTCTATTCGCTTTCCTCATCGCTATCTTCGGCTTCTGCATTCTTAAGCACCGCTACATGATCAGCTTCTGATCTGGTTTCTATAGTCCTTGGCTTGAGTTTAGAAGTAAAGAATGGATGATTTTCAGGAAGACCCCGGTTCTTAATCAGGTATCCCATAGGGGTGTGCGTAATATCAGATGACCGAGACCGATACAAAATCCACTCGGTTAGGAATTTTGAGAGCGATTGAGGGCTGAGAATACTGAAATTGGGAAGGATGTGTTTCCTGGTACGATGAGCATTATCCATTGTCACCAAAGGCTCTGCCCTTTTGCCGACTTTGAGACAGCTGCGTAGCTGCGCAAACTGATCGTAAGGAAGATATAATCGACCGGCCATGATGCCGATCTCAATGCTCAGCCAAGAAGGAATCACAAGCTCCTTCTTCGGAGTCGGTACAGGATAGTAGGCAAGCGTACCAACCTCCAAAAGAGATCTTGTAAATGGGGACGTGTACGGAAGAAGAAAGGTTGTTGGGGTTTGTATCCTACGGAGTATTGGGAGAAGGAGCTCAGCTTCCTCAGGAATGACAATCAAGGCTGTTTCGATGTCAGGTCTCCAGAGTATCCATTCAACTGGTCGCTATATGTACATCATTAGTATATTTAGTCTGACGAGAGTTGCTAGAGGACGTACCATAAGTTGGCGAGAAGCGTCGGCCTTCCAGGTTTGAACTATTCTGGAGAACTCCTTAGAGACAAACAGTTTCGAGGAGCCTCCCTTGATACCATGCTTCAGTCCGAGATAGGTATTGCCAATCAAGTCGAGAGCTGGAATAAAATCCAGGCTATCCAGCCCTACTTCAGGCTCTTCACAGAATTGAACTAGGGCATTTTCGAGGCCCGGAAATGTAAGTGCTGTAAGATGTGTAGGGTTCTGCTTCTCACGAAGCTGGTGAACTTCAAATTCAACTTCTCTTTCCTGCTCCACCTCATCAAAAGCCAAGGAACATGCTCGCCTTTTGTATTTGACTAGATCCGCCTCTAGCTCATGTAGGTCTTTGACAAATTTTTGTAGATGTGTGGAATTGAATGCTTTCAAGGCGGTTGACAATGTTTTCCCCCTTGGCCCGTAGAGCTGTTCCAATATCTGTCCCTCAGGCTGTTGAGTTTCTTGGAGGAGCTTGTCTCTCTTCGTCTTTTTCTGTGAGGACTTTCTGAAATCCAATAGAGCATCTGTACGTCTGCAAAAGTCGAATCCTTGGGCGATGTGCAAGGACATCATATTGTCACTAGCCTCACAACTTTGCTCTAAGAGCCAGTGGACAATGTCGGTAGACTTTAATGGTTGGGAAGCTGCAATCTTTGGTCTATGGACGGATCGAAGAGACAAAACACTTGTATACACCTCTGGAGGGGCAATAAATGCGATTGATTGCGTTGTCGCGAGTTGTCTCAATCTCATTGCAGCTATGATGGTTAGCCACATACGATTGACAGATTGTTTGTTTTATGCACTTACCTTGCGTTACCTGGTCTTTAGTCGAACCAATTCCCAATGTCACAGCTCCCTGGGCATATATTGGAAGCTTCAAGTCAGTCCCGCGCGTGTGAGCCTCGTCGATATAGACTACACATTCGTTGAGATTGTCTACAAAGGAACTAGCCAGAAGTGGCACGGGAGACTTTTGAAAACGAGCTCGTACCATAATACGGCTGTCTTTATCAAAATACACCGCCCCCTGGGCTTTGTGATGGACATCAAGCCAGGCCGCAGCCAGTTGGTCGTTCTCCATCTCAAGGATCTGGGCCCCAGCGTCTATCAAGATATTGATCCCGTTGTTCTGGAGCAGTCCCAATATCCCAATCTCATTGAGATGCCGTCCGTGTGGATCAATAGCTTGATAGCATCTTTGGTTGCGTGGCTCCAGCAGATGTACCAGAACTTCAGCGTTGGTTTGTATGAGAGTGGACAGATCGTCTTGACGAATCGTACGCGGCAGTATGTTTTTGTTGTCGTTGGTCCCACTGAACCCTGTTGTCATACCTTGCCGTATCATACTCTCGGATAGCAGGGGGATGTCCCAGGCTGAGGCTTGGAACTTTACCCCAAACTGCTTGGCGTGTTGCGGAAACGCAAAGTTATTCAAGAAATGATTGACGGCATGCTTCTCGAACCTTAGGTATTGCCAGAGAAGAGTGACCTGAGCCTCGTCTTCCATCTCCAGCTGATGCCAATGTTCAAGGTGTTCAGGAAGGTGTCTTGAGGACGCAAAGCGTTGATAGTGTGAGGAGGGATCTTCAGAATTGCTGATTAACTGAAGACTCTGGAGAAGCTGAGATTTGTTCAAACCAGCGTGGTAAAAGCTCAAACATGTGAGAACAAGCGCCGTATCTGGGTGACCGTACTCGGCAGTTTGCGAAGGGATTCCTTTAGCTTCGAATGGCACTGCAATGGGAGCTCTGTCCGGATGAAGACCGTACTGAACATTCCACGACTTCTTCAGACAGAGAATCAACAACCGCTGGGGAATGAGCCCGTGAAGAAGATAGAGAGTCTTTCTACCAGAGGGTTCATCATTCAATGACCCAATTGCATCTCCCCAGATAGATGCGGAAGGTTGAGTAGTTGAGAGTAGCAGTTTGACGGGGCTTGTGGCATCCAGGCTATTATCAGCTTTGAATTGAACATGTGAGAGTCGACCATGACAGACATCATCCACTAGAAGAGCGTTAAGATGGTCTTCCACCTCAGAACGCAGGAGGTGAATGACAGGAAAGCCCCGGTGTCGTCGCCATACCTGCACCCCATCTTTAAACTTGGCCTGAAGTTGGGGTACATGAGATTCAACCAAATATAGCATATCTTCGATAACATGCCACCGTTGAGGATGACCATCAATCATGGTGGGTATACCGCTTGGATATATCAGCTGAGTCTTTGGCGAAAGAGTGAGATCAGACTCATCGAGGACATCTCTACTCGATGATTCCAACCATGCTTGGATGTCCATCATTTTCTGCGCTTTCTTTGCTTCTTTGTCGGCCAGCTTCTGGAGCCCACTTAGCTTGAAGGAAAGTAGGTGTTCTGGCAAGCACAGCATGACTCCTCCTGATGCGAGAGTTCTCTTGTGAAGGCTTTGGTAAAGGTCTAGAGCTTGGTCATCGGTAGGTGATCGTCGAGCAAAGGGTATGTGGCAAACTTCTCGACCAACCAGCCCACCAAGTCGGCTCTGCATCATTTGCGCTGTCTGGAGGAGAAGGGCTCGGGGCACAACCAGTCGGCACAGATTCTTCGTGTCTGCCAACATTATTGCAGCCATGGGCATGATGCAAGAAGTTTTACCTACAGTAATAGTCAGTTCCGCGATTCTTTATGATGTGATTAGTAACATGTGCAAACCTTGACCCATGTTCATCTGTAAAACAGAATTCGACATCGATGATGGTGAGATAATAGCATTGGCCACTTCGAATTGGACAGGTCGAATCAGCATGTTGCTGTCGATCTCTAAGAGAAGCCATTCTGGGTACTTGAGCGGGCTCCAATTGGAGTGTCCCTCTGTCTCAAAGTTCTCCTCCAACCATCTATCATCTCCGCGAAGAATTGCATCTTCTATCCGCAGGTAACGCTGAAGGCGTGTCATAACTACCCCATACTCCACTATTCTGTTAACCAATGCACGAGGGACTAGCAATCTATTGCCATTTCTTAGCTGTTCAAGAATAGCAACTGGTGAGAAGCAAGGCCAAAGATGGCCTTTTGAAAGCCACGCGAAGCCCTCATCACCTTGCGAAACCGAATTCTCGATTTCCTCTCCTTGCTCTCGTAAGAGATGGCGACATTGAGTAATACCCCTCTCGACTGAAGCAATGTGTGGTCTGCTATAATGTACTTTTCGTGTCTGTTGCGCTAGAGCCAAAGCGTTGAGTGACACTAGAAGGTCCTCCCCATAGGCCCGTTGTGAAGCGAGCTTTGAAGAGACGAGTCTCTGTATAATCCCTTGGAGGATGTTGAACTCGGGTCTTTGAGCTATATGTAACTCTGACACCTGGCTCTTGGGATTGGGGTTATAGCTTCCAACCAAAGACTGGTCATTTTCTTCTAGCCAAGATTGAGAGTCAGCGCCGGGCCTGTCGTGGATTTTATGCCTCGAAAACAAGTCAGTCATCGAAGTTTGAACTATATAGCATTCTCTGGGACCCTCTGAGTTTCTGCCTCCCAGATGTGTTGGTTTCAAAGTCCAGACGTCTTGATATGTCTTTTGCTGCGTCGTCGATTGATCGCCTATCAACCTGTCTGCTGCGGTCTCCAGCTCAAGGAGATAAGCAGATAGCTCCCAATTACACTTCAGTCTGCGAAGCTCGGGGTAGAGTCTCTGCCATGTTTTCTTTAGGCTGAAGTCCCTGGTGTTCACGTTTAGGTCTTTGACTGATAGTTCGAACTCTTGTCTTGAAAGAGGTGGATTTGGCCACATCTTGAGCATACGGGACGTGATTCTTGACGCCGCATCTGTCTTAGGCTTGTCATGGAGCACTGGGCCACTATAACCGTCATCGAGTGGTTCTGGTAGCACTAGCGACTGAACCACATCCTTGGACGGCTTTTCAAAATGGCGGAAGTTTGTGAACAGGGTATGGCTAGGCGGCTGGATACGACTAAACCTATTGCTTTTAAAGAGCGCCACAAGCCACATTATCACGACGATGTCAACGTCGTCGCTGAACGCTAACAAGGCTAAGGAGAAATGGCTCTCGTAAGTTCTTGCCGGGTCTTTTTCATGGAGCTTCCGAACAAGTTCCCCCCAAAGTTGTGGCGCTCCAACCTCTAAGCTCGCTGCTAGATCGATATCTGATAAGGACTCCTTGACACCAGGAAATGTGTTCCACCTTTCCAAAATTGGAGCAAGCTTGGAAAAGCGAATTGCACCAGTACCAGATTCCATCATCGCACGAATGGTCTGATAAACTCGGCAGCTCTTCACAGATGACTTTCGGTCTCTAATAGGGACGAAGTGATCTGTTTGTGCCGCCTGAGAAAGAATCGTCGAATCAGAATCAAAGCACACACGCTCATAAATCTGTCTTCGAAAACGGCCTCTGATTTGCAAGCGAGCCACAGACGCGTTATATGACACATTTTCCTGCTGACTTTGTGTCATACTGAAGATCTCTAGGTCCCGTGACCGACGTTCAATTAGAGCGACTAGAGGAGCCAAGTCTTCATGTTGGATAGTGGAAGTTAAATGCTGATCCCATCGGACCTTCTGATACAGATTGATGCCTGGGGGGTAGAGAGTTCTTTCCGGCGATAGAGACTTGATGACAGACAGCATTCTCTGTGGGAAGCCCGCCAAAGGAGTCCAAGGCTGACTGCGAGGCGAGAGCAGACAATGGCGAGCCTCCTCTGTTCCTGTCTTTCCAGTCAAGTCATCTAGTAGTGGGAAAGAGGTTAGTGCATGTATTGCTGCCTTGAGGTAAAGAAGAAGCGGCTCGGGTGGGCAGTCTAGTCGGCCTAGGACTGAGTTGAGTGTGTATTTAGCATACACTCCTTCGTTGGAAATCCTGACAGCGACATGGATTCCGTCTCTCTGCCATTGGATGTTCCCAATTGGGATAAGAACACTTCTTCTTTCAGGGTTTGAGATATCGCGTAGAGTGACTCGACTGCGTAGCCCGTGGAGCGTCCCAATATCTTGCTGAGGGTCCACCTCAGCCTTGAGCTGAGGGCAGTACAGTAAACCTCTCTGGTTGACCTGGAAGCGGATCTCCAAGCGTTTGAGCTCAACGGATAACTCTCCATTGGCAGGTTGGTATATAGTCAACCTCTTGAAGTCTTCAAAATCTTGGAAAATAGTGCCGATTTTTCTTCCAATCTCCGAGTTTGGCTCAACAAGACTGGCCCCCGTATTTCTAGTGGCTCTTCGCTTTCGGATGTCGAGTATCCAGTTCGATAACTTGCGTCTCCAGATCCGTGGTTTTCGACGCATCTCGAGATTTCCGGTACTCAAGTCCAACCAGTGCACGCAGTCGTCAACTAGGTCTGCAGGTAAGTCCCAGCCCATGGGACCTTTCAACATGGAGCGTGGGACGAATTGAAGAATGGAGCCTCTGAATAGAGCTTTAATGGTTAATTTACTATCCCTGATCCCGACGTGGATTTGGTGTCCTTCCATTTCGGTAAGGACCTGATAGTCCAAGAGCCCGGATGGCCGTGTTAGTAAGTGTCGCTCCTCGAAAAGCTCCTTCATAGATTCATCATCTCTAATCTCAAGAGGAAGCCTTCCCAGGGGCTTTTGATCCACTAGCAGATGACCTTGAAGTATATGATAATGTACTCTCTGTGAAGCCAATGAGCCACTAGGGGTGGTTTGAGATGAAATCCACGAGGAGTGTTTGCCTGGAAGTTTCTTCCACGGGGAGTAAGACCTCTTAGCGAGAGCGCTGGCATTGGCCCATGTCTCATTAATTGCCTTCTCTACCAGGCCAATGTCGCTCTTCACCCACTTCTCGACGATTGTCCTCATCTGATAACAGGCAGACATGTCTTGGGCAAGAAGGCTGCGCAAGTGAGTGGGCAATTTATCCGAAGTATCAAGCAGGTTCTCCTGAAGTGCGATTGACGATCGGAAGAAAGGCAACGGATCATCTTTGAGCACAGTTGCTTCAAAGTCATCATGACCCAAACATCCCCAGAATGTCTGGCGACAGAGTAACGCGGCCCAGAAAGCAAAGGTAGCGGCCTTGCCGGCCAGGTCGCCGTCAAGCGTTGATCTGACCTCATGCTGTAATTGCAGAATCCAGTTTGAGGTGATAGAACGGGCTCTCAACAGCAGTTCATGAGCCTGTACTTTGAATGCTGGCGGGCAAAGGTGATATAGCCGAAGACTAAATATCACAACGGTACTCATCCGATCGACTTGTCTCCAATTCTGTTCCATTGTATCCATCCAAGCCTCGAGGCGCTCTTTCAGTCTACAACAGAACTTTTCACTGTTGAAGAAACTGTGAACTTCACGCAGTATTCCTTCTTCCAGTGCAGCTGGGCCGGCCTGCATAGCAAGGCGATGGAAGAAAGAATTTGTAGCTCTACTACTAAAGTCGAAATTGGAAGCTGCCATTTCCTTCAGGATCTCGAGCCAGCGTCGACCTCGTGCAGAAACTGCTCGCTGGGAAGCACAGAAATCGTTACCAGATGTAGATTGCGGTCCCATTGATTCGCTTGCTACGATCTCGTAAGAAGAGGGATGGTGTAGAAGCAGGCCTAGTACTCCTCTTGGCGTTTCATATGGATCCGGGAGGCCTTGTGGAAGCCAAGGACCTAAAAGGTGCTGATACCAAGGGATCTTAGGGAGTTCGTCCGCCCAAAGCCTTGATACAGTATCATAGTATGACATCTCGGCTCCAAAGGGAAAGGTGACCTGGTTAGGCGTTTTAGGTCATTTGAACTTGCCATAGTGAGTTTGGCGGAAGGACTTCTTGCGCGAAGCAAGCGTGAAGATGTTATTGGCCACTAGGGAAAACTTCTTGAGATTGGTGACATCTTCAAGGAGCAGTTTGGGGACGGCCTTGGTGCTTGCATGAACCGTGGTACCCAGAAGATACAACCGCCAGGTTGCTGTACGATAGGCAGATAAGTACTGAGGGCTAAGTAGCTCAACAAGGATTGCTGCCCGTTGGGCATTATGCTGGTCAGTATCCGCTGATGGGAGAAAGTCTTCATGAACGCTGATCTTGAGCTTTCTTCGCTGCCAGAACTTCGGACATCTTCGGCAGCCATGGACAATCTTTTTGCCGTCAGGTGATACGGTACATGTACAGGTAAGGTCGTTCATTGACTGTGTCAAGCTGTCATACCTTTTCGTCAGCCGTTCTAGCTTGGATAGGGTTGATCTTCGGGCCGTCAATGAAGCATCGTCAATCAACGTGGCGGTTATCAACATCTGGTGACCAGCCGCAGTGGAAGCGACATATCTGGCGGGAAACGACGACGCTTGTCTGGGGGCATCGAAGATTGTACCCTGGCCTTTTTTGTGTGAAGCCACACGCTTGCGAATGTATTGCTGTACTCGTAACAAACGCTTCATCTCGTCCCTGGTCATCAGGCAAAGTACATCCAATGCATCAGGAATGAACAAGGGATGATATTCTTTGAGCAATGGACACGTAGAGGTTGCCGCTTCGTCCATGTTTGTCCAAAGCTCGAAAAGTCTGAGAAGGTGGCGACTCATCAGAATCGAGTCATTGTCGAAGGTTTCTCCCACAATGCTAAGTAGATCCACAATACCCATAGAAAGTGATATGCACAGTTGTTGCGGTTTCTGCGAGCCGGTTGTCATTTTCATAGCCACAGCGTTCTCACTGTCCTGAAGGGAAATATAGCGGTCGGCCAGACGACCAACTTCGAGAATTGTTCCCTCTTGTACCTTGGGCAAATCCTCTGAGCTAGTACGGGATATAGGATTGAACTTTTGCGACAGCTGAGCTTTCAGAAAGGTCTCACTATTATCCAGTCTCATGTATAGATCAGCTTCTGGAACGCGACACGGAAGAGTTGGAATGCGGCGAGTAACTCTGGCCTTGAAGTCATCCCATTGTAACGAAACTCGTTTTGTTACATGCTTCACAATGTTCTCAATCTCTCCCGACGTAGAAGCGAAAAGTTGGTCATACAATGGGCGCAAAAACGGTGGAGACGCGGTGCTGTCCGCTTTGAGTTTTGCCATGCGGCGGCAGAGCTTTGATCGAAGCTGCAACGTCATCTCGGGGTGCAGGTGTTCAACACAGTCGTTGAAAAGCTCAGCCAACATGGCGCAGATAATAAACTTGTAATAGACTCGTCCCTCGCCGGCACATTTGTGGTCTAGCATTTCTCGTAGCATGCGCCTCAATGCTACACGGAGAACTAGCCAGTACGGCGAGCGCCTCCAGGGAATCTCAGATGATCCCAAAACAACGTCATCCCGAACTTTCTTACCGACCGACTGAACTTGTACGCCACTCCCAAGCCCCTCCAAAAGTGACATGAGCATGTCAATTACGAGGGCAGGATCCGTGGAGTCGCGGGATTCGGCAATTGATTGTCCGCCCTTGGAAGCCCTCGCCGCGAACTGATCAAAGGATTCATAGCTTGCCTGTGCCAAAAACTGGGACAGGTTTCTCATGAAGGACATGTCGCTGAAAACGTTGAGTGGGACTTGGACTGAACGATGGGGAAATTCCCACGTAAGGCCATTGTTTGCTGCGAGAACATCTTTAACCGGCGCATCGGTCTGAAATGCTTCGAAAACGACTGTTTCTTCACTATTATATGGTCAGCTAATATGTCTCCACCACTAGTAATGGCTTTCAGAAACCGACATGTCATTGCGATGGATTAGCAGAGCAGCATTCTGTTGAGTGACGAACAGAGCAAGCCACATGTTTTTCTCGCCGCTAGCGATGCTTTGAAACAACTCCAGAAGTTCGTGGCTGATCAGTTGGCCCTGGTTCAGAAATGCTGTAGCTTTCATGGAGCTGATTAGGACGTTCCAAGTGTCCTGGTCATGATCGTTACTGAACTTGGCCAAAGCGCGCCAAAGCCGACTTCCAAGATCATAGGCCAGGCCAGAATTATCCGCGTCGTTTCTACTAGGTAGTTTGGAAGGAAGAACTATGTGATAAAAGACTGCTTGAAGTAACGCTTCTGGCTCGAGAGTTGTCGACATCTTCAAGTAGCTGACTGTTGAGGAATATTTTGGTAGGTTCAGGGTTTCCTGGCAAACAAAGTAAGCAAAAGTAAAGAGGCTGTTGTTTACCCAAGTGTGATCAGGCACAAAGCGGGGAACTCATGTTGGTAGGCCTCCTGCAGGATACGGTATGTTGGTTGTAAGTCATAGAGGCAGCGGCAGCCACAAAAGTAACTGTGGCTAAGAGGCTCACTAGCCACACTACAGAGTGTATGTTAACTCCAATAAGTGGTTCTGATTATCGTCTGTTATCGGGGTGTAGGGTAACGTCATATAAGGTCAATACTTTAATAGTCCTCTGGCGTCGTTAATGCTAACATACGCAAAGAGCAGTGCCGGTATTTTGGTCAATTGTCTTCAACGATAAACATCGTCTTGATAATTCCTGTTGGATATTTACAAAAACTCCACTATCGGCTCTTTCACAGGCTCCTGTAATTTATCCCCACCAAACTCACGCGACTGGATCTGGACGTGGAACTTGATCTTCTCTTTATCGTCAGCGTTGCCTTTCAACACTTCCATTGTCTTGTCGTCGATAGCAATAAACGAGTTCTCGTCCAAATGATCCTGACAGTTGCGGCACGCCGCAACGTTCCATCGGCTGAGTACGGCTTCGCGCCCGACTTCAACCTTTTCACCACTAGGCAATTCAACGTGGGTGCGGATGACGAAGGATCCGGCGTAATCTGCACGACTGACATTGTGCACCCGTGCGATATTAGCAATGGGCTCAGTAGGTGGCTCAAAACGGGCTGGATCATTGTCAAGCGAGCCAGGACCATAGCTGTATCCAAGTTCATTGATGTCTGTCACGTCATTCGAGGTATAGAAACCGCCGCCAGGCTTCTTGAAAGGATCCAATGGACTGTTTGTGTCCAGAGCTGTACCCTTGGGGAAGGTTGGGTCACCCAGGCTAATGGTGCCCTTCTTGCCAGCTTCGACTGTCAGACTGCCATTGGCTGTCTTATCATGACGGAGCTGCCACTGCCAGAAGGTATAGTCAATGAAGGCGTGGTGGAGGTAGAAGATGGGGTCGAAGGCGGCTGTCTCATTCTCGCCCATGTCACCGTTGGCACCAAGGATTGGATCAGCGTTATAATTGCCTTTCTCATAGAAGCCGCCAAGCGCAAGGTGAATGGCGTTGTGAGGCTCCTCGAGGGCGACACCATAGTGCGGCTCGCCATGATTTTCAATTATCCATTCTGCCATGGAGGCCTTGTTGGAGAAGACGGTGTAGTTCGGCGCCTTGAGGCAGATCTGAAAGCGAGAGTAGACCGAGTAGGTGTCGGGAAGTGTGGTATCAGGATCGCCGTCGGGTGTGATTTTGACCGTACCATCCATCCAGGCTTTGACATTGGAATTGAGGATCTTGGTGTTGGTCTTATGATCCATGTACTTTGCATTGTGCCTGTCGGTATCGATTTTGTCGGCGGGGTTTCCAACGAGGCCGGAAAGTGGGTAGCGAACAGTCGTATAGCCGGCAGGCTTGGTGTACCGGCTCGCGTCCCTAGTGCTATGGTTGTCCTCTAGGCCCTTCTGAAGCGTGTACGAGAACAAGGGGTTGTCTGTCTTGCCATCAACAGGGAAAGGCAGCTCGCGAGCAGTGACGAACCAGGGGATGGGATTCTCGGCCGTTCCATGCGTGACACACTCGTCCCAGAACGGCAAAGCCAGATCTGGGGCCTCAGGCAAAGCATTGCGGAGTGCATTCTCTAGACGATACAGATAGGCTCTGTGCCAGGTTGGAAAGAGAACGGTCTGGTGCTGGCAGTATCCGCCCCACCAATCGGGGTTTGTAGGATCTTCCTTGACGAAAGGCTCGCCGTGATAGCCAGCAATGACGAAGAAGGAGTCCGGATCATCAACTGGAAGGGCTTGGATCTTGCGAAAAGCCCTGACGAGGTTCTCCAGCTGGGTTCTATCACCACTGTCATAAAGACTGACAAGTTCTTGAAGAGAGCGACGGACGCGCATGATGGCTTATGGTAATAAAGATTGATATGCTGATGTTGTTGAGGAGTAGATTGGTGATATTGACATTCATGCAGTAGACATCCTGATTTTTATACCTGATCGCATATTTGAGTCTAATCTCTTGCTACACTGCTACGCAACAATAGTATGGCAACTTTCTCGAGTGTAGTATATCGTTGAGGGTGATCAGGCTCCTTTCGGTCAATCTATGTATTATGGCATGAAAGTGGCGAGCTCAAGTGAGACACAGGCAATACGTGCGGAGTTCCCCAACCAGCAAATCATTGATCAGCCACATGGCGGTGACAGCAGATTGGAAGCTGAAAATTCCGGAGGTTTATCTCCTTCCGGCGACTTGACTCAGTATTCACAAAAGTCAACTGTCTTGGCCCTCGTTAATTGGCAAATACCAGACATCAACGTAGCTTTGCTCTCTAAAGCAACTTCTGCAGAAGCATGGTGCAGTATGACAGCTGACAGAAGGAGTGAGACAATATGCTCTTCTTATGGAAAGGTAGCTCAATAGTGCGTCCTTGTGGCATACCTGAAAGAATCTAGATGTATCTATTCTTGGAATATTGTTGAGATGGCGCAAAAGACATGGTGACTGGAGATGCTGTTAAAAGCCAATAGATAAGGCTCGACCCTACCGCGATCGATAGCTTGATGCAGCCCCACTTCGTTACCCCGCGTTTTGTGGGCTATTGTCACATTTCTGGATGCTTCAGCCAGCCTCACTAGCTCAGCTGCCGCATTGGTATGTCGTTCAGCCAGCCTTTTACCTCTGGCTTCCAAATCTGGCAGCACTAGGGCCGGACAGTGGCATTAGTTTCGGTATGTAGGCAGACGCTTTTGGCGAAATAGAACTAGATATCTGGCACGCTAGCACTTGAGTGGTGCCGGGTAATCAGTAGTCGCATGAACCATTGATCCCCTAACCATAAAGACTTACTGCCGTAGTGAATATGCTGCATTAGCTTATCTTGTCTAGTCTTGTTCAATTCAAATATGCAGATGTTACTGATACAACCTTTCGGCGGGTCTCGAAGGGCCGTATAGCATCATCTGCAACTTGTTTAGTTAATTTGTAACTGACAAGACATGATACAACGATCTTGGTGGCTTGATATTCCGGACGCTATTGATCGTACGATCCGTTAGCTGACCTTATTGTGATGTAGCTGGTGGCGATTTATGTCTCAGGATTGGTCCAGACCCTCAGCCGCAGATGACTTGCCAAGATTTTCTCTAGATAGTGATCGGGAGCTGTTGGATTGGATATTGATCACCTTGGGAAGTTCAAAGTACATTTATGTATAAGAAGCATCTTCCTTCGTGACCAAAAATGCTCATCATCATCTCCAGCACAGCCTTTCAGACCAATCTTCTACCTTCTCTTCACTCTTCCCACTCACGAAATCAAACAAGCTGGATAAGTTGCAGTGGTGTGGCACTGATTTCAGTTCCACAATGGCTTCTGAAGGTCCCTCGACCAAGGAGATCCTCCTTGATGCTGTTGAGCAAACAATCGGAGCCGACTTTCTCAAGACCATCGAGCCTACCGACGTCTCCAACGTCGACGAAAATGTCAAAGGCCCCGCTATTACTCAGGTTCCGGTATGTAGCACCCAGCTGCCCGTCCCTCCGGTTTTCCAAGAAGCTATGGAGCGAAAGAATGGCTTGTGGGATATAGTCGTTGGGCTGAAGGAGCACATACCTCGCTGGGTTCCTGGATCAGTTATCAAGTGGGCTGCCTGGCGAGCCGGTTTCAAAAGTCAAGAAGACGCCGACTACGCTGCTCAGCAGCTCGAAATTGCTGCACAGAAATGGAATGAAGCTAATGTCGGCGTCACTTTTGAATGGGTTCCGCTAGCCAAGGATGCTACCTTTGTTTTGACCAACGGTGGTGCCAATGGAACAACTCTTGCGAGAGCCTTCTTTCCCAACGGCGAGGATCTCAACTACGTATTTGTGTACTCTTATGCATTCAGTCAAGAGTGGAAACCACACAGTAAGTCCTTAAAATAGCCTTGATATGAGTTTCAAAGCTGACGATCTGCAGTGTGGAATGTCTTTCTCCACGAACTTGGGCATGTCATTGGCCTGCGACACGAATTTGCCATCGGAGACGTACGTGATGAGATGACTGCAGATAGAGAGGGCGAGAGGGCCGTCCGTATTGGTGCGCCTGATCCCATGTCAGTCATGAACTACCGCAACGAGCCGCCGCAGCTCCAGCAGTCCGACATCGAGTCAACACGCAAATTCTATAGCATGACCGAGGACGCTAACGGCAAGAACCCCAGTATTGGCATGACACAGGTCATTGATTACACCCCGCGATGAGCTAGTAGTTGAGAATTTCGAGAGAAAGTCTAAGAGATAGTTTAAATAGCGCCTTTCTATTAACAGAGTCTCTAAATTACCTTGAAACTGTCTCTCTAAAACGTCTATGTTATTCAATCTAAACTATTACTTAAAAAGACCGCACCTTACTAAAAGCTTCAGAAAGATCTAAATACCGGGCTTAGGGTTGATAATAGCCTCAATGCAGTTATCCCGAACCCATCCACCCAATTTGTCCGACTTGCTACGGCCATTGCAACCATCGATAGCAACGTTCATGTACTTCATACACTCATCGTAATTAGCCTTCCAAAGACAATCCTTTCTAACCGAGAAATCAAGCTGGAAGTGATACCCGGTCGAAGGCACCTTCTTCCCCTCGAGCCTATCGTTAGACCAATAGTAGCCGTTGTTCTTATTCTTTGCGACTATGTCGCGGCAGAAGGATTGAGCAGCGTAAGAGATGGCGTTGGGGTTTGAAGCCTGGCCACTCTTGTTACAGCGGAGAATATTCTCAGAGAACTTAGGACTGGCCAAGGTAGGGCTGGGGCTTGGTTTGCTGGTGGTCTTGGTGTTGACCCACGAGTCACACCGAGAGTGTGTTACACAAGCTGGGCCGTGTCTGCCTGTTCCCAGGTTACACATAGTCTCAGTGA